AGACATGAACGCTGATGTCTTTCAAGAATGGTTCGAACAAATGATAGATCTTCTTCCTAAGAACTGTGTAATAGTAATGGATAATGCAAGTTATCACTCCAGACTTATAGAAGGACTGCCCACAACCAAGTGGTTAAAAAAAGACTTGCAGAATTGGCTGAGTTCAAAAAAATATTACGTACCATCCCGGATCTATAAGAAAGGAACTTTATTCGTTGTGTGCCCTTCATAAAGAAAAATTTAAAAAATACGAAATTGATGAAATTGCCAAAAATCGTGGAATGGCAGTACTTAGATCCCCACCATATCATTGTGAATTAAACCCGATTGAACTGGTATGGGCACAGATAAAGAGTGAAGTTTCAAGAAAAAATACCACTTTTAAAATTCATGATGTTAAACAGTTGTTTTTGGAGGCCGTAAATAATGTAAAACCTGAAAACTGGGAAAAGGCAGTAAATCACACTATTAAAGAAGAGGAAAAAATGTGGAAGCTGGACAATATTACTGATAAAATGATCGAGCCAGTTATTATAAATCTTGGTTCTGAAAGTTCATCTTCTGAATCTGATTTGGATTTGTAACAAGTAGCTGTAAGTTTTATATTAATATTTTTATTCATCTATTTAACATACCTTAGACGGTTTTAAAAACTCTTTTTCTCTTTTGTAATTTTTAAAAATTAAAAAAAATGTGAATTTTTTAAAACCCTTTTTAATGTAGGCCAGTCAGTTCTAATATAGTGTGTGATAAAAGAGGTCACTTTTGTTTACATACACATAACACTTTATAACACTGAAATAATTCATTTATTTTTTACAATAATTCAAAGTAATTTTTCAATTAATCTTGAGCACGCCCATGGAGTGGTCGAAGGTACCAGTTAAAATTATGCTAATTACTCTCTCGTTCATAAAAATAACCTATAAAAATGTGTAGCAACAGCCGAATGTAGCAGACTTTAATTATCAATAATTCTTTGATTGTGGTTGCCAAGAAGAAGTCAACGAGAAGAAGATATTAACAATAGCGGATTAAGGGAATTCACAGACATTATCTACAATTATACATAATACATATGCAACACACAATACACAAACATATAATCTAAGTAAACACATATTATACATTCAAATAATACAAAAAAAAAACATGCAAACACACCAGCCTCCGATTTTTTAAACCAAAAGAAGGCTATTGTTTATTGTCTACAAGAAAGATCGAGGCCAAATTTTTTTTAAAAACTATTTCCGAAGTGGAAATTGAAACGTCAAATGTTTGTTGTTGTTTGTTTATGTTTAAATGACTACGGACGCTAAATCCATTCAAACGTTATTTAAAAATGTAATTTTCATTACAATTAATTTGTGGCTTAACCCCATATAAACATGATATTTAGATAAATAAATACATATTACGTAGATTATTAAAACTAAATTTAAATTTTGTGACATTTTTAAATAATAATAAGCATTGGTTATCAACTTTTTCTGGACCAATATAATCCATAAATGACCTTATCACATCCTTCTTTCTATAAATTAATTATATGTGCCTGTCAAGGACATGGACCTACCTCAATAGTCAGGTACCTGCTGTGGAAATCTGTAGACAATTAAACTTAATGTCTTTTAGTATACAATATGTTTAAAATAGAAGTCTCTTTACATCCCGAACCCAACGAGAACTACAGAGTGCCACTAAGGTTAATTTGAAAATTCTAGACAGACCTGACCAGCCGAAATGGAATTTTACAGATAACCTATGACAATAGTATTAAAAAGTTTTTATTTTGTTTAAAATAAATGTAATTAACTAAAAATAATAAAAACAAATTTGGTCATTGATCATTAAGTTATAATATGCATAAAAGTATGTACGAAATAAAAACAATACGAATCCGTAGAAAAATGCACTGGGGATAACGAAAACACACCTCTCAAAATTCAAAATAATTTTTATATATTTTTAGTAAATAGAAGATCTTATAGAATACATTTAAATGATTAAAGTTTTAAAACAATTTACCTATTCTTAGTAAATAAGGCGTCTTATAGAATACATTAAAATGATTAAAGTTTTACAACAATTTAAGTATCGGTCCACTTTTGGCTTCTAGAGGCGTCTAGGCCGTACAGTAGTTCATCCGCTACTTCTTGGTCGCCAGTTTCAAGAAAGCTCTGATATAATTTCTTGCTATTTTCAGACCAGCCAGGGATATATCCTTTGTGATAGCCTCTTGATATGTGTTTTTTTGGCTACACTTAGCATGACACCAACAAATCTGTGGTAGTTTTTGATATTAGGTGTAATCCATCCTAGGCATTTATCTAGATCCGCAGAGAAGTCACTCGAGTTGGACTTTTTAAAATTCCATCGTGGACGTGGGATAGAACTAATTAAAGGGATTTGCGTCCCTACTTCTATTATTACTGGTCGATGTTGGCTGTGTGGGAAATTAGTTAGACCTCTTCGTGAACCCCCTAGAAGTAAGTCTTTGTTGTCGGTCGAGACGAAGCATAGGTCGATGTTGTATTCCCGCCTCCATGCCGCGGATCTGAAGGTTGGTCGATCTTTGGCATCAAACAAAAGGTACAGGCGTTCGTCTTCTGCCCATTTTATTAAAGCATTCCCATTCGCATCTCTATTTTTGTACTTCCACTGACATGATGGCTATTGTAATCTCCAACGTATACAGCAGAGTGAAGATGTACTTTAATTGCTTGGGCTGGCCAAGACGTAGCAGGTGGTTTGTAAATGTTGGACACGGTAATTGTAGCGATTTTTGTGACCACATTATAAATACAGTCATCAGTGGAAGTAGAGATTAGCGAAGCATTTTCAATATCTTCTTTGACATATGTGGCTGTGCCGTATGTTCGGTGGTAAGTTGCGCCTAATAGTTCATAGCCCAGTATTTTGCCCCTTTTTGTAGTTGCTTCTCTGTTTCGCAGTGGGTTTCCTGTATAGCAACTAAGTCAATGTTGTCATTTTTAATAGTTTTGATAAAAACTGGCTTTTAGCATAGCTTATGCATTCTAGGTTTATATGGCAAATTCTAACTATAGGTCCGATTGGTCTGGTTGTACGTTCCTCACAAGGGCCCTTTATTTTGTTTATCATCTTTCATTGGAAGTGTTGTTTGGTCGGGAGATCCTAAGGATTGTCTGACTGCCAGTATGTGCTAGTTCATTTAGCGTTACCCAGGGTGCATGTGTAGTATTCTACTACGGACGCGAACCAGCTCTACACCGCACTATCACAATCCGTAATGGAGTGAAGTTTAAACTCTATTTGGCCGTTATAGTAACACAACATAACTGAGAACGATAGCAGCGACCTCTATACAAAGCAAAAAAGAAATCCACTCTTCTCTCTCATTTTAATGTCTTTTTTCTACGTAAAGTATGCAAAATATAGTGTTTTTCAAGGGTAAATAGCTTCCACTAAGCTTGGATTTACGGTTGCGGTTCACCTAATTCGCTATCGAAGAAAAGTCTCCTGACTTCTTGTTGCTTCATATAGAGGTCGCTGCCAGCGTACTTAAGAATGCTATGTTACTATTACTACCAAACATATTTTATTTCATTTTAGTTTGAAATACCTTAAGTGTTCCTGATGAGTGTTGAAGATCTTGAAACATCTAAAACACACGTGTAGAACAATGGTGGAGTTTTTGTTAGTCTCTATTACCATCTGGTCATCAGCAAAATAATCCTTGCAAGGTTTATATGGATACACTAAATACAATGGCAACATTTGGTTAAGATTCCTTATTTGTTACTGTGTGTTACATTTTAAATATCACACAATTTCAAATGTACTTTCGATTTAGTTAAATATTTGACGCTTAGTCTTATATATCTGTGCTAGTCATTCGGTTGGCACTATTTATTGAATATGGCTTGTGTAAATTTTTGGAGTCCCTTTCATTCTGTGGTACTTTACCTTGAAGAAATTTTAAGACTGATAGCGCTCAATAGAAACTAAAAATGTGTGTAAATAAAAAAAAACAAAAATAGCCAAACACATAAAAAGAAAGAAATAACGCCAGCTTTCAGAAGACAAAAGCCAAAAGAAAAAGCACTTACACAGTGGTGTAAGTGCTTTTGGCGACTGTCCAAAAACTTACATCTGTCAAACTGGTAGACCTTTAACAAATGTATAGCAGAACACAATAATAAAAAAACGGATTCTACGTATGCACTTCGCGTTCTAGATCATAATCATTTTTTTATGATCTTTTCAAATTGTTCACATTCAAAAATAAATGCCCTAAGTTATCTTTATGAATTTATAGAAATTATTAAATTAAAAATTACAAATATAATTATAACGACCAATTTGAGACAATCAGCTCTCCCCTTCTCAGTTTATTCAGTTAAATACTAAAAAGTGTAGACGTATAACAAACATAGCTCACTTGAGAAAGGCACAGTGATGATAAATTATAATAAAATTTGTGGAAGTGCTGAAAACAAAAGTTTTCATTGTTATCATTGATTGTATGACGTTTAATGAGTTTTGGAAGTTCAATTGTCTATTTAAACTATATAGTGATATATCGAAATCTACCTTTTTCACTCTCTTGGAAAAATAAATATATTTTCAACTGATATTGTGGTTAATTCCTCCATGAAAGATAATAAATAATATTAAAATACCACAATAAACCGGTTTATATATTAAAAAATTTTATATTTTATATATTAAAAATTATAGCTTTACTGACATATATTTGACATTGACAAATCCAGTGATAATTTAAAATTTTGAATTATTATGTACGTAGTCAAAATTAAGTTTAAAAATGAATTACTTTAAGCAATTTGTATTAGTTCCGATCTGTTAAGTTGTGTCTTATGCAGTAGTTAAAAAATATCTGTTTTAGAGAGAATTTCAAAATAGTTGCAACTGTCAGAAAGTCTTTATTTGCATGTAACCTACAAAGAGAGCCTTATTCAGACTCTATTTATTTACTTATTATAAGGAGTACTAAAGCGAGAGGAGAGCAGATGCGTAATCTTGCATTCAGAATAGCACAACAACAACGAAATAAACAAGGTTAGTTATAAACTTCTATAAGCTTTGTATTGTATACTTACCGACCTTGTCTAATTGCCTTTTTTGTTTTCTTATTGAACTCTTTAAACTCTCTTGATGAACGGTCTAGTACTTCTCGTAAAGTATTTACGTTATTCAAGTAAATAACTGAACTTGAACAGCGGTTCAGAGAAAAGAGAAAAATAAAGCGAAAAAGATCGTCTGTTCCAGCACCAGACTTTTTGACTTACTTAGCCCCGATATTAAACACATCAGTCATGATTTTTGGTGAAATTAATATTAAGATATTGTTGTACTCTCGAATTGATATGAAATTCTGATCACACCGTGAGGACAAAAATTTCTTGTTCTATTTTATTAATAGCAGGATCTCCATTGTTTATTTCTATACTGACTACTAGATATATCCCAAAGACATGTTTTTTCCTCCTACAACTTCACAAACTCTAATTATCTAACCTCATTCCACTTCATATTTTTTAATAAAATTCAAATACTTCAAATACAAAGTCGACTTCACACGACCAATTTTTGACAGCAAGTACGTATATACTTAACGACTGTTTACATAAAGCTAGTGTGAGGCAGACCGTTCAAGTATGGTCCGAGCATACGAGGCGTCTTCTTAAACAAGTAAGTTGGATGGCTTTTAAGTTACTTGACTTGCTTGGCTCTTGTTTAAGTTCTTGATCAAGAACTTGAATGTTTGTCTACACGATTTAAGTTACTGGTCTACAGTTTATTTCTTCTTCAGCCTTAAGTAATCCAACTTTGGACCTAGGCCTCCCCCAAATCAATCCAGTGTTTTCTATTTTGCGCCACTTGCTTCCAGTTTTGTCCTCCGATCTTCTTAATGCCATTAGCCATCTCATTTGTGGTCTTCCTCTGCTTCTCTTTCCTTACCATGGTCTCCATTGTTGTATTTCGTGGTTCCATCTTTTGCCCTTTAGTCGGACATTGTGTCCTGCGAAGCTCCATTTTAATTTGGCAGCATGTTCTCCTTGGTCTTTTACTTTGGTTTTGCTTCTAATCCATTTGTTTGTTTTTTTTTTGTCTATAAGTCTTACCCCGATCATTGATCTTTCCATCGCTCTTTGTGCTTTTACTATTTTATCAATATTAGACTTGGGGAGTGTCCACGTCTGTAAACCATACGTGAGTATAGGGAGGATACACTGATCGTAAATTCTGGTTTTCAAATATTGTTATATTTTAGTGCTTTTCAAGATACAACTCAGTTTTCCAAATTCTGCCCATGCTAACCTAACCTAACTAACCTTAGTTATCCTGTAGAATCCTCATTCTTCTGGTAATTTCGGCAGTTTGATTTTCTTTGTTACCTTTCATTATCTGTCCCAGGTAGATGTATTCGCTTACTGTTTCTAAATTTATGTCTTCAACATTATTTCTCTAATGTTCGGTGTATTTGTCATTATTTTTGTTTTCTTAAGTTCATCTTAAGACCTATTTTTTCCGAAGCTTGAAATAGTTGCGTCGTCGTGGTCTGTACTTCTTCGAAACTTGTAGCGAATATTACAATGTATATATATATATATATATATATATTATATATATATATATATATATATATAATATATATAATATATATATATATATATATAATATATAATATATTATATATATATATATATAATTATATATAATATATATTATTTATTTATATAAAAAGCGAGTCTTCTACAGCTGGCGCCGCTTCTCGCATCCTAATTTCCAGCGTTTTCTATCGAAGCAATCTTCAGTTGTTAGATCTCTGGCGGTCATTGCATCGTCGACATCGTCTCTCCAGGATCGTCTTGGTCTACCTCGTTTTCTTCTAGTTGGCGGAGTCCATTCTTCTATTTTTTTTGGCCATCTATTTTCCGGCATTCTCTGAAGGTGTCCATACCAGTTAAGTCTTTTGGCTTCGATTGTGTCTATTATGTCTAGATCGATTTCCATTTCTCTCCGAATATCTTCGTTTCTCACCCTATCAAGTCTAGTGAGCTGGCAACATCGTCTCCAGTAGTTCATTTCCATGGCCTTAATTTTTGATTTGTTTCTTTGGTTTATTTCCCAGAGTTCGGCGCCATACAGTCCAATACTTTCTATTATTGTTTTATAAATTCTTCTTTTATTTTCTTTTGTTATTTTTTTATTCCATAATAGTCCGTGTAGCTGTCTGGTGGCTGATCTTGCTTGGCCAATCCTGGAATGTATTTCTTCGCTACTTCCTGCTTTTGATGTTATTTGGACTCCCAAGTACTTAAAATTGTCTGTTGGTTTTATAGTTCCCATTTCGATTTGTAGGCTTTCTGGTTTTTCTCCTACAACTAAGTACTCAGTTTTTTGTATATTAATTGTGAGGCCCCATTTGGTGTACTCATCTTCCAGTTTTCTAAGCATGTAGCTTATATCACTCTCGTCTTCAGCTAGAATGGCTTGGTCGTCAGCGAAATGTATCGTGTACAATCTATCATCTCCGATTGGGATGCCCATATTGCAGCACTTTCTTCTCCACAGTGAGAGTGCCTCATTTAGATATATTTTGAAGAGTGTAGGTGCTATGCAGCAGCCTTGCTTTAGGCCCTTACTAATAGGAATTTCTCTAGTTAATCTATTTCCAGTTTTAATGTTTGCCGTCATATTTTTGTAGAGTTGTTGTACTGCTTGTATATTTTTTTTGCTTATTCCTTGTTTTTCCATTGCTACCCAAAGCATTGAAAGTGGTACACTATCGTATGCCTTTGTCAGATCTATAAAGACTATATGAGTTGAAAGGTTGTGGGCTAATCTTTTCTCGATAACTTGCTTTAGAGAGAATATACTGTCCATGCAGGATCTGCCTGCACGAAAGCCATTCTGTTCTTCTACATCTGTCATCTCTTTTTCAATTTTATTTTTTATTATTTTTCCATACAGTCTTGAGAGTGAATTTATGACACTTAGCCCCCTATAGTTTGAACAATTCTTTCTATCTCCTTTTTTGTATATGTTGTTAATATGTGCTTTTGTCCACTCCGGTGGTAAGTCGTGTCCATTATAGAATAAGGTGAAGACATACGCCAGTAATTCCCGTAATACTTGTGGGCTATGTTTTAATAATTCATTTGGTATACCTTGTGGTCCGCATGACTTCCCATTTTTTAGAGTTCGTATTGCATTCTCGACTTCCTGTACTGTTATTTCGTCGTCTTCACTAAATTCCAGTTCATATGTTGTTGTACTGATGTTCGTGAATTGAGGTCTTGTTTCAGTCAAAAGTTGTGAGTAGTGTTCGATCCAAGATTTTTCTTCTATTAAATCTATTCTACTCGTTTCTTTTCTGTTTGTTCTCAGATTTTTTACCGTTTTCCATGCTTCTCTTGATCTTGTTGACCCTATATATTTGTTGAGTTCTTCGCATTTACTTTCCCAGGAAATATTTTTTGCTTTAGTTACTAAGTTTTTTACTTCTCTGTTTGATCTTGCATATGTTCGTCTATCATCTGGATCATTTGTTTGCAGCCACTTTTGATATGCTTGTTTCTTGTTGTGTACTGCATTGGCGATGTCATTTGTCCACCACAATGGAGTATTCTTTTTGTTCTTTTGGATTGTGCCGAGCGCTTCGTAAGCTGCTTCATTGATTTTATTGATTATCTCTTTATAGGTATTCTGGGCTGAGGAGTAGATCAGGTTTGCCAATTTTTGGCTAAGTCGCAGCTTATATAAGAATAATGTCGAGTCGTTTTGCAGTGCATCAATATTGTATTTAGGTAGATTCGATTCCAGGGGTTTTGATTGAGCTAGTTGGTTGTCATTTTGATGTAGTAGCCGAGGTCGATACTGTAGGTAACATTTTGATCTTACCATATAGTGGTCAGTTCCGCACTCCGGTCCTCTTAGTACTCTTATGTCTTCAACTTGTATGTGTGTTTCTTGTTTTGTGATGACATAATCTATAATTGACTTTGTGTTTCTCGTTGGTTGGACCCAGGTGTACTTATGTATGTTTTTATGTTGGTAGAATCCGTTTATATTATCAATGAGTTCCGATAAAGTTTCGTAGAATATTTGTTTAGCTGCTTTTGATGCATTTTCTGACGGAGCATATATTCCAATGATCTCGAGGTCGTGCCCTTTCCACGTAATAGATACTCTAATAATTCTCTCATTGATCTGCTCCCAGCTTTTCAGGTTTCCTTTTAAGCCTTTTTTTATCAATATTGATACCCCTGCTTGTGCTCTTTTGTCTTTCTCTACTCCACTATAAATATGTATAAAACCTCCTATGTCTTCACTACCTTGGCCTTTTTTCTTTGTTTCGGTAAGAACCGTGATATCTGATTTTATTTTCTTTACTTCTTTTATTACAATGTTATCAGCGTATTTCAAATGACTCAGTTTTCTTACATTAACAATAATCCTTTATCTACCCAGTTAATATCTTTGAACACGTCTTCCAGTCCAAGTGTGAATAGCTTTGATGAGATAACATCTTCCTGGCGTTACTTGCTCAAATAACATGAACAGCTACTCGACTCATGTAAACCTTACTTTATAGATGATGATTTTTGATTTTATAGTAACTCTTTAGTATTGGTATATTCTTATTGCACAATTCTTTTATTATTGGTGACTAGATTTTGCTACATTTATTGATGTGTTTGTTACATATTTTTCTTCATTTAGTAAGTAAGGGGTGTTTCTTTTTGACGTTCTTTCTGTTTCTTTCATAACTATTGCTGCATCTCTCCATTGGACTGTGGGGTCATTATTCCAGGTATGTTTGTATATCTGAGATCTTTCGAAGCCTATTTTTAATGTATGATTCATCCTTATTTATCCTAACACTTAATGGTCTTGAAGTTTCTCCCATATGGAAAATTGTTGCATTTGCAGGTATTTGTGTCATTAGGTTTGGTTTTGGAAAGAATAGATCTTAGTGTGTTGATTGTTTTAAATGTTATTTCATATCCTTTTCGTTTTTCCGATTCCGATAAGCTTTGCACATATATCATTATTTTTCTCTTCAAATCCCCTTGACACTTTTTGGACAGTTTTTGATGTTTTGTTGCTTCTTTTCTTCGATCTTGTTGAATTCTTTGTATATAAATGACAACGAATAATCATTTTTTTATTAGTAACACCGTTGATCGTAGAGTTTTCACCCTTAAGTGCATTTTCGTTGAAGCAGGTGTTTTGGTATCTATCATATATAAATGATTTAATTCTTTATGGTTGATGGCCAATAAAAATTTATTCAATGCTTCTTCTGGTTTATGAGGGCCATATAAAGATAACATCATATACATACCTACACCATACTGTGGGTTTTTGGTCATATTTGTACATAATTTAAAAGTAATTTTCATTACAATCAATTATGGTTTAATCTTAAACAAAGAAATAGTAACAAAGACAATAGAAATCAAGAAAAACCTCATAAAAATATTGTGAATTTTATAATTACGTAGGACTCACTACAAAATGGGTATACAAAATAAAATACTACAGAACTGCATAGTTGATGATAATAAAACCAATACTAGATGATTTAAATCGAAAAAAACCGAATTACACATTTTTACTATTTAAAAAGAAAAGAAAATAGACAAATAGTTTTTGACACAGAGAAGATATCAAAAACTTTCAAGAACGATTTAAACCGATAAAATGAGATGAAATATTTAATGGAATTTACTCGCAAAGAGGCTGAGTCAAAAAGGAAGAGAACAAAATAATGGGGACAGTAAAATGTATTTACCTGGTTAGATAACTTGGTTTACGTCAACTAAATATTTTAGTTATTTTATGTTTTAAATTTTGAAACAATAACATTGTACTATGTTATCATATATTATTTTCGAAATTTTTACTTTTTAGTGGTTAGCGTAATTTTTAACGAGTACTCCTTGCTGTAAAACCGGCCCTGATTAAGATTCAAAAACTAATAGAACCAGTCTTTGCCATTTTCGTTTCAGGTAGAACCTTAACATTCCTTTCGTCGAAAAGGATGCCAGTATCGAAAGAACCATTGACTTTACCCACCGCAAAACTTGTAAGAGTTATGCCAAACATTAAAGTATTTAGTGGAACCTCTCACCAAGAACTAACTCAGAGAATTGTCGATTTTCTGGGTATAGAACTGGGAAAAGTTGAAACGAAGAAGTTCAGTAACTTAGAAACATGTGTCGAAATCAACGAATCGGTCAGAGGCGAAGATGTGTACATAGTTCAATCGGGAAGTGGAAATGTGAACGATAATTTGATGGAACTTCTTATTATGATTCACGCATGTAAAATAGCGTCGTCCAGTAGAGTTACGGCAGTAATACCATGTTTTCCTTATGCTAGACAAGACAAAAAAGACAAGAGCAGAGCTCCGATCTCGGCTAAATTAGTGGCGAATATGATTGCTGTTGCTGGTGCTGACCAAATCATTACCATGGATCTTCATGCTTCGCAGATTCAAGGATTTTTTGATATACCCGTTGACAATCTGTATGCTGAACCAGCTGTTTTAGCCTGGATCAAAGGACATATTGACGATTGGAAAAATTCAATTATAGTTTCGCCTGATGCAGGAGGCGTAAAAAGGGTATGTTTTTTTTTGTTTATTATAGTAAGTTTAATATTATCTGATAAAACTATTAATATGATAAAAAAATAATGGTATATATTGGTCTATTTCGTTTAATTGTATTTGTTATTGTTATGACAAGAAATGGTAAAGGGTACCAAGCGGTACCCAATATCCCCTCTCCAACTACCTTCAGGTAGGCGCTTAGTACCATCACCATGCGTTTTTAGAAATATATTGCAGTAATATAAATATATATGTATAACAATATATATTCGTATACCATTCATAAAAAAGTGTGAAAAGATTGAAAAATATAACAATTGTTGCTATTTGGTTAGAGAATAAGTTGATATTTATGTGTATCATAGACAATTGAATGATTTGAAGTATTTTGATTCTCATATTCTGATTCACCAAATCTGTATTGTGTTAAGACGGAAGTAAGAAATTTTGACATATCAGTCAAAATTACTTAAGTATCACTTCCTTATATGTTTTATCTTAGCATAAGTTGCGTAAGAAATATGGCAAATAATTAAACCTGTATCATAAAACAGCTCCTGTGCTTGACGGTTTACTCATTGGTAAACGTTAAACTTTTTAGTACTTCATAAAAATTTGCAAGGCCTATATTTGCGTTATGGCAAAAGTATAGAGAAAGTGCCGGTGAAGTTAGCTACAAATGAACCGTCAAATTTGCATTTGCGGTATTGTCATGTGCTTATTATGTATGTTTTATGCCTCAAATATGCTTTGAAACAGTACATTTTTATTATATTATTTATGGAATCGGGTATTTTTAAATTTTTTTTAAATTTATATAAAACACGAACTAATGAATATTTATTTCTTTTGATATTAGTTGCAGTTAGTTATTAGAAAAAAATAATAATATAATAAAATTATAATTGGCCTTTAGTAGATTAGCAAATAAACTTGGCAATACTGTCAAAACTTTAAAATCACTAGTTGCCAGATTGCAGCAGATTTCAATTTTATTACTATTTTCTTATAATTTTGGGATGAAATGGTACCATAAATACCTTAAAAACTAAAGAATTTAAAAGCTACAAAAATTAAAGTTAATTTGGCAGGAGTATAGAGAAAGTGCCGATGAAGTTGGCTGCAAATGAGTGACAGATTTATATTTGGCAGTGTTGTCATATCACAAATAAATCAAGATAGAGCATGCGATATAATTAATGTTACTAAACATTCTTTTTAAGTTTTTTAAAAGAAGTTTAAATAATTTAAATTTAATTTATTATAATTTAAATTACCTTTAATTTTTTTAGCTTTTATTCAGATACCATTTCATCCCAAAATTATAAAAAAATATTCATAAAATTGAAATCCGCTAAACATCTGTTGCAATCTGACAACTACTGTTTTCAAAATTTTTAATTTCATAAAGTTTATTTACTAATCTACCGAAGGCCAATTATAATTTTTTTTTCTAATAGCTAACTGCAACTAATATCAAAAGAAACAAAATATTCATTCGTTTGTATTTCATATAAATTAAAATTTAAAAAAAATACCCATTTCATAAATAATATAATAAAAAATGTACTGTTTCAAAGCATATTTGAGGCATAAAACATAAACATAATAAGGACATGGCAAAACCACAAATTATAATAAATTAAATTTAAATTCATTAAAATTCTATTAACATGTATAAAAACAACATGGCAACACTGCCAAATACAAAACTTTCCCTCATTTGTAGCTAACTTCACCGGCACTTTCTCTATACTTTTGCCTTGCGTTATTAATTTTCAAGAAATTTTTCCTTTTGTAGTTTTTGTAATTTTGAATAAGAGGCAGATTGTGAAGTTCTTCTGTGAAACATACATCTTCTTCTTCTTTTTGTGTAAACATGACAGTAAGTTGCCGTTTCATTCGTTTTCTGGTTTTCCTACTGATATCGTTCTATTGGGGAACCTTCTCTTGTCGTCTTTTTACTACTCTATTTGTTCTAATTCGGCTTATATGATCGTTCCACTACTCTTTTATTTCTTACCCAGTCTCTGATGTTCTTCACCTTGCATCTATTTCGTCTACCTATCTGTAATTCTAGCTCTGTCCCATATTGTGTAAACCATCAATTGTTCTAAGTGTTTTTATCTCTGCTGTTTCTAACATATTTTTTGTCCTCTGTGGCTCTATTTATTCACTTGCTATTTCACTTCTGTTTCTATCATTTCGTAGCTAGATAATCTAATGCCTGAATATTTTAACTCCAGCACTTGTTCTATTATCTGACATTCCAGCTCCAATTAAGATCTTAGTAAATTTGCTGCTATAACCATGCATTTTATCTTTTTTGGGGAAATAAACATGTTAACTTTTTTGGCGGTTATATTAAGTGTGCAGCATAAATTGTAAATACTCTTCACTTTTTGAGAGTAGTAGTGCGTGGTCTACATAGCAGATTATTTTTAGTTGTTTTTCTCGCATTTCGTATCCTTTTTTAGTTCTTACTTTTTTATTATTTTATCCATAATCAGGTTGAACAATAGATTACCAAGGGAATCTTCCTGTCCTATTTCATTGCCAGCTTTAATTGGGTAAGTTAGTTCTTCTTCTACTTTTACTTTTATTGTGTTATTTTGGTAAATATTTTCGATCGTTTTGAATATTCTTAGAGGTATCTCTCTTGCGTTCAATAAGTGGATAACGTCCTTTGATTTGACCCAGTCAAATGCCTACTTACGGTCTACGAAACATAGATGTGCCTGTTTGTTGCCATCTAATGATTTCTCTGCGCTTACCTCATTATAAATATAGCGTCAGTGTATGATCTTCCCGACTTAAAACCTTGTTGTTCTTCTGCTAGTGTTATAATTTCATTTAGTTTATTTGTTATCACTTTCGTCGTTAATTCAAGTGTTGTGTTAATAAATTAATTCTTCTGTAATTTATAGATTCCAATTTGTCTCCCTTTGTGAAGAGAGGCATTAGGATGCTTGATCTCCATTCTTGAAGAATTCTGTTTTGTTCTATTATTTTTTTGGATTAGTTTTAATAGTTGCTTGGCCATATCTGTTCATGCGTACTTTATAAGTTCGTTTGGTATTGTGTCCTCTCCTGGTGATTTTCTATTTTTTTTTATTTCGTTAATGCTTTCTTTGCCTCTTCCTCCTCAATATTGATTTCTTCTTTGTCGTCACGCAAATAGGGAAAATAGTTTGCACATTTTCCTTCTGAATGTGTTTTTTTTTATTAGTTCGTTCATCTCTTTTTTGTCCTCTGATCATTCTCCATGTTTATTTTTGTGTTCCGTAGAAGTCGTGTTCTATCTGTTTTGAGAAGTTCTGCCAGTGTCATCTTTTTATTTGTCTAACTAAAGTATTCTTTTCATTTCTGATTTGTTTATAGTGGTTGTATGCCTGTTATGTTTATTGTGTTCTGTATTGTAAAAAAGGCTTTCTTCTTGTCTTCATATTTTGTCTTCACTTCCTCTCTAAACCATGGGGTTTTCTTTTTTGATATGTTATTGTTCGTTACTTTCCTCTCTACAAGTGACTCTGTTGCTGCGTTGATTATAATATTTTTGAGTTTTTTCCAGCTTTCCTCGATGTTATCGTTTTTAGTATTTCATCCTCAGCAATCTTCTCGAATATTCTTTTTCTTTATAATATGTATTCCGTGGATTCGTATTTAGTTCTTCGACTCTGATTTTAGTTTGTGATGGCGCCGCTCTCTTGGGTGTGAAGTATTTCATGATGATTATTATTTTACATCCTACTAGCTATAGTCGCTACCTACATCTGCTGAGTTGAGGTATGTTACATCGTGAAACATACATGACGGGCAAATTTATTACCTTCTAGTTTCTTAAGCACTCCCTCTTTCATTCGCATTTTTCTTTTTTCAGTCGTTTGTTGTTATAACTGGTTATACTGCAGCCAATTGACTTACTGTACATCTTTTATTCGTAAACCATTGCGGAGTTTAGTTTCATATAATTTTATATAATCTTTAAAGTCGATATTTATACAGTATTTATTCTATAGCACATATTATACGATATGGTATAGCTGTTAGTAGGAGTTTGTCTTTCTCTTTGATCTTTGGAAGCAAATCCATCCAAATGTGCAAACAATTACTTTGGTTATTTTAAAATAAACTGCTGCATTTTTTATTTGGAAATTAGATGTTTAAAATCAGATGACAAAAATATAATAATTATTATAAGTAATAAATTTCTTCTCGTATCGTATAGCATCCCTTTAACATAGATACTATTAGGGATGCCACGTATTTGTAGCATATTGCAGTTCTTTTTTTTTAATATTCATAACTTAAGTTTTTAATTAAAAAACAAAAAAAAATTAAAGAACCTTTTTTTATATTTTAGGTCACTTCGATAGCCGATAAATTGAATGTTGAATTTGCTTTAATTCACAAAGAAAGGAAACGTGCCAATGAAATAGCTTCGATGGTACTGGTCGGGGATGTAAAAGATAAAATTGCAATTTTGGTGGATGATATGGCAGACACTTGTGGGACGATTTGTACCGCTGCTGATAAACTCATCAATGCTGGTGCTAGTAAGGTAAGAATAATATTTTATACGGTATAAAGAAAAGTTGCAAAATATATTGTAATGTTAAAGGAAATATCAATCTAATATCTAATAAAGACTCCTATCCTCCGAGCTCCTGCTAAAACCCGTCCTTGTTGGGTGGAAAACAGAAAACATTTGCTAGATAATTTTGAACAAAAATGTTTATTTGCACTTTTTCTGTAGAATAAATCGTTCTTTCAAAAACAATGCTTGAAGCGACCGGCGAGTTTGAATTCAGTTATGTGCGCGAAATCAATTTTTTAAATAAAGTTTGTGTCAACTCAACGGTAAAAATTCGATAACTTTTGATCAGTGTGTCCCATCAACAAAAATCAACATGCGTTTTCATTTTCGCAAGCAAATTTTTGCATTTTGCTGCAAATAAAGTTAGTTTTGTAGAATCCTGTTTGTACTTTTTAGTACGATTTTTAGAAGATTCTCAATAAAATTTATTACTTTAATTGATTGGTCACTATGGAATTTAAATTTTTAGATCCTAGTCTTTAAAACCTATCATAGAATTTCGATTCTGAGAGTTTTGGCAACAAATATGAGGCATTTACAATATTTACTAACGATCTAAAATACTTAAAACTGCTGCTGTTCGAATACGGAAGTACGATTTTCAAGATTCCATAACTTTAGCTTCAAGTTCCACCCAATGCTGTCTTTGTGTAAGCATTTCAATTGCCTCATATTTCTTACTGAAACTCAAAAAAAAAAATGTCATGTTATAAGTTTGGAAGACTAGATTCTAAAAATAGAAATCCACAGCGACCTGTCAATGGAAATAATCAATTTTATTAACCTCATGAGAATCATAAAAAATCGCGCAACGTCTATTTATTTAACAGCTTTGTACAAACTCACTTCATTTGCAGCAAAATAGAAAAATTGCGTACGAAAGCTGCACCTTTAAAATGTATTTTGATGTTTTTTGACAGGAAATTCTAATCAAAAGATCGATTTTTTACCGTAGAGTTGATACAAATTTTATTTAAAAATTTCGCGCATGTAACTGTCATTTAAAATCTACAGAAAAGTGCTAACAAACATTTCTGGTCAAAATAAGCTAGACTACATTTCTTGTTTGAAACCTTGGTAAATCGATGTTTTTCGTTTCCTCGCAACGGGGGACAGGGGTTAGGGGAAAGAGTGGGGTCACGTCTCGTGTTCGTAAATGAAATCTGTGACCACTGTACTAATCTTCAAACAAGTCTTTTAACTTAATTCATTTACTTGTTGTAATTTAAACAAGTTAATTAAGCACCTATTTGCTAATTGATTTGCTGATTCTATGTAAGCATAAAAAACAATTTCTAAATTTTATAAACAGAATATTGAACCAAATTTTTCTTATTTTGAAAAAATAATTATGATCACTGCTCTGTTATAAACTATTATCTTCACTTTTCTGTATATACGACCATTATCATCATCATCCAGTTTTCTGCGTCCAAAGTTGAACATAGGACTAACCTAATTTCTTTAGCCAATTCCCAGCGATCCTTTTGACGTCGTTTGTTTATCGTGTACATGGTCTACTTCTGCTTCTTCTATCTGCTTGTGGTCTCTACACTGCAATTTTTTGGATCCACCACCTCTGTGTTCTATGCAGCGCATATGCTATTCAATATATATATATATATATATATATATATATATATATATATATATATATATATATATATATATATATATATATATATATATATATATGCCATCTGTGATGTGTATACAGATCACGACATTGTTTTATTGACCATACAACAGAATCGCAATCGCTGTGACAGGTTACATGTTTCCACCTCTATATTCATTTCACAGTAGGTACGAATTGTCGTAATTGTCACATTGACATTAAAAGTTAATGAAATGCTTATTACGTTGTATACCGTCCAAGAAAAGGTGCAACTTGTAACAAGGTACTTTCAGGGTCATTCGATATGCGAAATAAATGAATTATTTATTCTAGCCTTCGAAAATAGACCCCCACCAAGTGTAACAATAGTTAAAAATACCATTAAACATTTTTAAACTTCGTAATGTGTAAACAATTGTAAAAAGTGTCATGAAGGAATTGAATCACTTGTTAGACTTGTCGATGAGGAGCTTCAAAACAGGGATATTGATATTTGTGCTCTTGTGAAAGCTAGTAAAACCTGCAATAGTATACAAATTGCTAGAGAAGTTAACGTGAATGCCGAACTGTCCAGCGAGTTCTCAAAAGAAATGGGTATCACTGTTTTAATATACAATCAACACAAGAAACTGTTTCATTTTCAACATTTTTCATTATATAAAAAACACAATCCATCCATTGCAAGGTATTATTCTCGGAAAAATAAGCACCTCAGTGTTGCAGTGTGAACACAGCATCCGCAATAGTGAAATATTTTAACTGGGATGTTAGGCGACTATATGTCGGTCCATTTTTTATCGATGGAAACCTAAACGGGCCCAAATATTTACAATTTTTACAGAATGGCCACATTTACAATCATTCCAGCAGTTCGATGCCTTCCCATTAATTTTCAGGACGTTTATTTTCAACAGGATGGGCATTCGGCTCACAATTCTAGAGCAACTATTGACTTCATCAATCAAACGTTTCCTGATTGACTGATAAGTACATGTGGTACAATTAAATGGCCCGCTAGATCCTGTGACTTATCGCCCAAAGATTTGCTTTTTTTGGCATCATTTTTTTATCAAAGAAAACATTTATAGGCATCAGTTTGAAAGGGCCACAAACCTGGTCAAATTAAGGGCAAAAATGCTTTATTTCTCTGCAAGCATTACACCAGCCCTACTCCAAAATATGAGGAGAAATCTGTATGATAGATTTGGTTACTGTTTAGCACAAAGAGGTGGAATATTTGAGCCCTTAATTAATTAATCTGCTTTCCTAATTTTTATTTTTTGTTAGGTTCATTTTACGAAGTTTGTAATTTCTTAATTAGGTAGTATCTTTTTGTTTAAGTTTGGAAGAATTTTATTGTTTTTTTTTTATTTAAAAGTACAAGCGATTCTTATTCTGATTTTTTTCTTCTTTCTTGTCTTATTGTTATTTTCTTACTTATTTATTTGTATTGCTATTAAGGCTAAAAAATAACCAAAAAATTAGTTTTAGAGCATTATAATAAATATAATGTAGAGATGGGATTGCAATAAATCCAAATTCCTATGATCAACAAAACAATGTGTATACGATAATAGTTTTAAAATACTCCATATCTCATTATTTTATTTTTTTTAGGTTTATGCCATCTTGACTCATGGAATTTTGTCAGGACCAGCTCTTTCCAGATTAGAAGCAGCTCCTTTTGAACAAGTCGTAGTTACGAATACAATACCACAAGAGGAAAATATGAAGCTATGTTCTAAGCTGGAATGTATGGACATTTCTAGAATCTTCGGAGAAGCTGTACGGAGAACTCACAATGGTGAATCCGTTTCCTATTTGTTTTGTAATGTACCTTATTAAGATATATACAGAATAAAACGTTTTACAAAAAAAATATTTTTAAATTACTTTTTGGACAAATTCGAAAATTATAAGTTCAAATCGTTTCCAAACCCCTGTGTTCAATTCTTCTCGATAGACGATGATAAAATAAAATGTTGAAGTCGAGGAGTAAAATATCGATTTATTACTTGAATATAGACAACGACTACATTATTACACTATAGTTATTATTGAGGTAAACATTTATAATAAACTGCGTCCCAAACTAGTCCCCAAGCTATATTTATAATCTCACTAAAATGGTACGATTCATCAAATAAGTGTATTTCTCTCTGCACAGAACAAAAACATTTTGTTTTCCTTAATAAATATTATGCAATTTATAGTTTGCAGAAAGTTGATCAAACTGTAAAAACTGTAATTAAGCTACTAATCAATATGTTTCATAATTATACACGGTGAAACTGTGCAAATTCAGGAAATTAGATTAATGTGAGATTACAAATTAATGGACTAATATAACTCAAATACACAAAGGTAAGTCTAGTTTGGAATCATTAAATAAATAAAGTAATAGTTAAAAAGAATTCGCAATTAACTTATATTTTTATAATTTTCTTAGAACCAGAAGTTTTTGCGGTCATAGTTCAGTGTTTAGTCACTAACTTACCAAGCCGGATGACCTGAGTTCGTTCCTGGTACAGATATCAGAAATTTTTCGATTTCTAATTTAACTGAGGCGCCACCCTGCTTATTAACAAACTGCTTTGGAAGAAAAAGAAACGGTTTCAAAATTTTTGTCAACAAAACTTTTAATGCTAATTCCATCCTTAATATGTTGCTGTTGCAGTTTTTCTTATAAGAGATACTACGTCTTTACCACCAAACATTTGTTTATATCTGTGGTATACCTCATAGTTGTATCTCCTCCTCCAAACACCATTTTCACAGATGCCACCAAATCTTTCTCTCAGGATCCTTCGATCAAATATAAGCAGAAGGTCTTCGTCTGCCTTGGAGATGGTCCATGTCTCCGATCCATATGTCAACACTGGCTGTATAAGGGTTTTGTATATGGTTATTTTTGTTTTTTGGCTTAAGTTTCTACTTCTCATATGTCTACTCAGTCCAAAATAGCATCTGTTTGCCATTATTATCCTTCGCTTGATTTCTTCCGTTATGGCGTTCTCTTTGGTGATCAGGGAGCCTAAGTATGTGAATTTGTCCACCACTTCAAAGGTAGAGTTATCAACTGTGAATTGGGGACCGATGTTCCTGACTCTATTGTTGGGTGTTGATGCCACCATCTTAGTTTTCTCCTCATTTACTTGCAGGCCCACAGATTTTGAGGGATTTGAGAAGGTGGTATACATATCTTCTAGCTTGTGTGTTGTGCGGGCAACTAGGTCCACATCATCTGCATATGCCAAAATTTGGGATGATTTATTAAAAATATTTCCTCTGTTGTCTATTCGGGCATCTCTGATTGCCTTTTCCAGTGCTATGTTGAAAAGGAGACACGCCAGCGCGTCTCCCTGTCGCAGCCCAACATGCGTTCCAAACGCCTGTGATTGTTCGCCCTGTATTTCGACTTTGCAAACCACATTACGCATTGTAGCCTTAACCAATCATCAGTTTATCGGGGATGTGAAATTCATTCATGGCTTCATATAATTTATTTCTTAGGACACTATCATAGGCAGATTTGAAGTCTACAAAAAGATGGTATGTATCGATATTGAATTCATTGGTTTTTTCCAGTATTTGCCTTAGCACAAAGATCTGATCTGTTGTTGATCGACCAGGCCTAAAGTTCCTTTGAATATGCACTTAGGTGACCATATGAGATCCTCGAAAATATTTTGTATGCTGTATTAAGGAGGGTTATTCCCCTATAGTTTCTACATTCCAATTGGTCACCCTTTTTGTGTAGCGGGCAAATGATTCCAATACACCACTCTTCCGGGATTTGTTCCTCATTCCAGGCTCTCAATCCGAGAATTACAACCGGGAAAACAACAATCGTATTTCATTACCTTCAACGGAAATAACAAGTCCAAATGCAGTACATAAACGAACAATTAAACAAACAAAGTCTCCAATGACACCCAAATACAATAGGCCTTCAACGTGAAATAAAATAAATAATGGCCATTAGCTCGGTTACTGCAATAGCCACTAGAGAGCGTAATCATAATCATCAACCTATATGCGTCCACTGCTGGACATAGGTCTCCCTCAGCTCTTTCCATCTGTCTCTGTCTTGTGCGGCTTGCAATCATTGCTAACACGCTTCAGGTCGTCAGTCCATCTAGTTGGTGGGCGTTCTCTGATAATCTGGGGACGTATCCTGCCCAGTTCCATTTTAAACGAAACGATTTTTTCGATAGCGTCTGTTGTTTTTATTCTATGACGTATTTTCTCGTTTGGGATTTGGTCTCTCATAGAGACACCTAACATCTGGAGCTCCATAGCCATCTGAGTCACGCGAATCTTTAACTACCTTTTCTGTGAGTATTAATGTGTCCGCTTCATAAGTGAGTACAGGTAACACACATTGGTTAAAGATTTTCTTTTTGAGGCATATGGGTAGATCCGATTTAAATACATAATTCAATTTACCAAACGCTGTCTAGGCGAATCCTATGCGACGTGGGAGCTCACATGTCTGGTTATCTCTTCATCATTATCATTATTAATGGCGCTACAACTCTTCGTGAGTCTTTGCCGCGTTTACTATTGCCTTCCATGTTTATCGGTCCTGTGCCAGTAATTCCCATTGTCGCACTCCAAAATCTTATCTAGATCTTCTCTGACTGCATCTTTCCACCTTTTTCTAGACCGCCCTATAGACCTTCTTCCATCTGCCCTTTCGCACAACACATTGTTTATAAGGCGATTGCCGGTTACTGCGTATTACATGTCCTGCCCATCTGAGTCTATTGGCATTCTCGTTATCTCTGCCCAACCGAATTTCATGTCCTAGGTACTTATACGATGTAGTCTGCACAATATCCCTTCCATCAACAGCAATATTTCGATTTAGCACCAGATTGGTCATTATTTGCGTCTCGTTCATATTAATCTTTAGTCCAACCTCCAATGAAGCGTGATATAATTTTTTAAACATTATTATTGCATCATCCATACGATCGGCTATAAGGACGATGTCATCTGCAAATCTCAAATGACTGAGCTTCTCTCCATTTATATTGACACCATGCTCGTTCAGATGTGCCTTCTTACAAATATGTTCCAAAAGCGTCGTGAATAGCTTTGGAGAGACTGTGTCTCCTTGCCGTACTCCTATATACTCTGTATACAGAATTTATTTGTTTCTTGTTCAGATAGTCTTATGCTAGCTGTGGCATTTTGGTAGACATATTTGACTATGTGTAGAGATGGTCTATTCGGCATTCTGTTAATGCTTTTAACATTTTCTGATGGCTTATGGTATCGAATGCTTTTTCGTGTCGACAAAAAACAGTGCCAACGGTTTGTTGTATTCTGCAGACTTCTCTATCAGGTCCTTTATCAATAGTAAGTGGTCGTTAGTGCTGTATCTCGATTTAAATCCAGCTTGTTCTCTAGGCAGATAGAAGTCTAATTTAGCTTCTAGTCTTTTTTTGATATTTTTTGTAAAAAAGTTTATGTGTGAAAGCAAACTGTTAGGACGGCGTAATGCTTACGATGAAATGCCAATTGATTGCATGCTTCATTTTTATTGATAATTTCAACACCGCCAAACACTAATATCTTGTGTCATGAATCATGTATAGCTAACTTCACCGCAACGTTCTCTAGACTTTTTCCGAAACAAATGTCCATGGAAAAATATTTAGATTAGAGTAAAAACTGGAAAAATTATCAACCAATAATGATATATGAAACATTCTATGTTATATACCTACATAACCATTACAAAATAAATATTATTATGTTTTATAGTGACTTCCAAGTAGTTTTTGTTCATTGTTACCGTCATTATGGCAAGAATATAATTTTTATGGTTCGAGGATATTTAAAGTCGTCAACAGATTTATAAACCTGAACATGTTTATATTTATCTGTAAATTCATTTCATGATAAAAATGTTAAAAGAAATTAAATTTTGTTATTGATTATTTAGAGTTTCTACAAATAAATTTAAATAAAAAATTATAGCCAAAAACAAATAGATTACAATAACAAATTACTAAAAGAAACTGATGTAGTGTTTTCCAAACTGGAATTTAAATCTGTTTTACTAAAATACTTATGCCGAACGATATTATCTATAGAAAGAGAGATCGATAATTAGGGAAAACGCTAATATAAAAGAATTTTTTTTTTCGAATTCTAGGATATACGAAACGACTAACGATTTTCTAGTAACACAAGTTCCGATCGAGAAATGTTTCTTCGAGAAATTCTTGTCTCTGTTTACTTCGAAAAGGCCTTCCACTCCGTAAATATCAAAACTCTTGGATTATTTAGTCAAATGTAGAATAGAACATGGAAAGAGGTAGAGTTAATGGATTTTGGGAACAGCTATAACCTTGAAAATGCCACAAAGAATATAACTAAATATCTCTTTTCTTACTCAGACTCTTTAAAGTCTTTTACAATATTTTAGAATCGAAGATATGTAATTATATTATTAATGTATTGGATTTTGACAGGAGCTATGCATTATGCCTATTTAGTACACAAGCTTATGTGAAATGTTCAAGGTCATAGCTGTTCCCAAAATCCATTACCTCTAAATCTAATTCAGATGACACTAATTTGCATATTCTGGCGCATCTAACAGTACCATTGATTAAAAACTGCTGTACATTGTACACTGTGTAATGTTTAGTCAATGACAATATTTAATTGTATAAGAACCGCCTTTAAAGTAGGTGATTGGTCTTTTTGTTCTATAATTTTTTAATAGTAATACAACAATTTACTGTTCTATGGAAATCGTACATTATATGCCGAATATCTCTAATTTGATATTTTGGTAAATCTGTGACAGTTGATCTACGTAGAAAAGACTACTTTTTTTATTATCCAGAGA